GATATTACAGCAAGTATCCTGTAATATCCTATAACTGGCAATGGAGGGTTTTGTACAACTTGTTAGAAGCCCAAGGGCTTAAGGGTTTGCTGTCTGACTTCAGGATTGAAAAGCACTGTTGATGAGATATCTCTCTGTGTATGTGTGTGTGTGCGCGCGCGTCTGTGTTTATGTGACATTTTTCTTGCTGAGTCTAGCTCAAGGGAGGGTACAGCAATTGTTTTACGAAATTCTACCCTATAGATAGCCTAGTGCTTATGGCTGCAAGTGGCACTGGATTTGCAGACTCATTTGATATGCGGGTCATGAAAACAGCACTGGACCTCTGGTTGGGAGACCTAGCTCAGGATCCTGGCTCTGCCACTTGCAGCTGAATGACCTTGGACAAGACACTTAACTTCTCCCGGCCTCTTTGCCTCCTCTGTAAGAAGGGTGGTCTGTACCGGTTGGGTCTCCAGGGTCCCTGCTGGCTCTAACAGCTATGACCACTTGTTTTAATCAAGGCTGTGGCACATCTACAGACAGCTCATTTTAGAGACTCAGTTTATCAACAGCATCTGCATAATTCACCACTTCCTTAAGTCCCAATATTTCTCAGCTGCTTGATGTTCTGTGAAACTGAAGTGCCTTCCAGCTGAATGTGTGGGCAGAGCAGTAAAAAGGCAGAAGATCTGTTAAAATGTTGAAAGTGCAAACTGGTGCAAACTTGAGACAGCTATGTTGACTTGAGAAAGTTTCTTCTGCCTTTGGCTGCAGAAGAGTCCACTCTACTGCCTTCCCTCTGGCCCACGTTTTAGACCCATTGACCCAGAGCAAAGCAATAAAAAGAATACACTGATTTTACTGGCTTTATGTCAGCCGAGGGGAGCGAAAAGTAGGTCCTTTCCGCAATATTATTTCCTTGCACCTCCTGAGAGGGTCTCCGTCAGCTACTGAGATAGAAGACCACAAACCAAAAGGCCACCGCAGGAACCAGAATTGAGAGAAACTGGGGAGAATCCAAAGGGAAGTCAACATGGAGGAATGGTAATGGGTCCGTGAGCCAGAGTCAGCGAGGGAACGAGAGCAACACCAGGCAGGAAAAGGAACAACGGCTCCCAGTCTCTTAGGTCACAGACACGGGACCGTACAGATGAGAGTTTGACCTTCTTCAGAAAGAGGCTAGGAAGACAGAGCGCTTGCTAAGGATGGCTGCCTTCCCAGTACACTAACGCAGCTCGGTCGGAGGGGGAGAGATGCTGTTTTCCTTCCTGACTGCCTGCTGGATTTGTCTGTTGTCCCTGCAAGTCCCTAGGCTCCTCTTGCCCTTCCGGTTTTGCCCCAGATCGCCTGTGTCTTTCCTCCTGTATTCTTCCCTCAGCTTTGGCTCTGGGACAGCACTTGACTTTACAACCGGAGAATAGAATCTCTCCGTTTTCCTCCCATCTCAGGGGATAAAACTCACTGAGACTCCTCAGTGAAGTCAGAACTGTTACACGAGACCAAAGGCTCTGGTTTCTGGAGATGGTTTTCCTTAGCTCCTGAGCAGAAGCCCCTCTGTACCGCTTGCGTGGAAGGGTGTCTCCAGGAAGATGTAGCTTTGGGAAATGTTTGGGGTTGGGGTTTGTAGATATGGACTTTTCGGTTCAGGAGTTTTCTTCCTGTGAGACATTAGTAATGCTTTGTAGCTTGTGGCTGGTCTACTGTTAACCTTTTCACACTAATAAGAATTTTATTATTGTAAATTAATACTTCTTTCTGATTCAGTATTTAGCACCAATACCTTAAAATATTGAAATTTGAAACAAAAGTATTTAACTAGACAAATGCTTAATAAGATTTTTTTTGGCCCCTAGACATTTCTTAATATTTCTCCAATAGTTATTTGTGGAATCTTCATAGCTTTTCCTAGGGTATACATATTTTTGGAGAAATTTGTCTACCTGTGATTTCAAGCTTAGGTTATTAGCTCCAAGCAACATTTTATTAAATTTGTATTATAATATTTGGGAATTTTAACCTGCATAACAAAAAGCACTATAAACAAAGAAGACCAAAGACAAACTGTATTTGCAACTCATATTACAGAAGGCTTATTTGCTTAATATAAAAAGTGTTCCTGGCCCAGCATGGTGTCTCATGCCTGTAATTCTAGCAATTTAGGAGGCCAAGATGGGAGAATTGCTTGAGGCCAGGAGTCCAAGACCAGCCTGAACAACATAGAGAGACCT